CGCCCTCGTCGTCGTCGTCGTCGTCGTTGTCGTCGTCGTCGTCGTCGTCGGTGTCGTTGTCCCCGTCCTCGTCTTGGTCCTCGTCGTCGTTGTCGCCGTTATCTTTATCGTCGTCGTCGTCGTTGTCCAGCGCTCGGGCGCGCTCGTCGTACAGCAAATTTCAACAAACGTTGTAAGAATCCCAGGAGGGTGAGGGGGGAAAAGAATTCTGGTGCTGCACGAACGCACTGCGCAGTGCATAGGCGATGTGGTGCACGCGGCTGCGGGGTGCATACTGTGCTGCGCACTTTGTTGCTTGACGTGATGCGTATGGGCGCTGTGGTGCCAGAGCCTAACAGCGGGGGGGGGCGTTACAGTATGCTCCCCGCAGCCCCCTCATACCGTCCGCTATGGCCGCGAAAATTACTCCGACGGTAGGACCCCGCATGATAATCAGTTCAAATTGCCTGGGGATCTCCTCATGCCCCCTCCCTTCTCCCACCTTTTCCTGCCTCCTCCTTCTCCTCCTGCCCGCTCTTCCTCCTACCTCCCTCATCCTCTTGCCTCCTCTATCTCCTCTTCCTTCTTTTCCTCCTCCTCCTTTTCCCTCCCTCTCCCTCTCCTCCTCCTCTTCCTCCTCCTCCTCCTCCCTCCTCTCCTCCTCCTCCTCCTCCTCTTCCTCCTCCTCCTCCTCCTCCTCTCCTCCTCCTCCTCCTCCTCCTCTTCCTCCTTGTCTCCATCTCTCTCCTCTCTCTTCTCGCCTCGCCCTCCTGCGGCGGCTCCTCCTCGTCTCCATCTTCCTTCCCCCTCCTCCTCCTCCTCCTCCTCCTCCTCCTCCTCCTCCTCCTTCTCCAGCCTCCTCCTTTGGCCTCCTGCCTCCTCCTGGGGCCTCCAGGGGCCTCTTAGGGCCTCCTGGAGCTTTCTGGGCCTCTCGGGACCTCCTGGGGCCTCCTAGGGCATTCCTCTTCCTCCTCCTCCTCATCGTCCTCGCTCTCTGCCTCCTCCTCCTCTTCATCCCTCTCTTTCTCGTCCTGCATCCTCCTCCTGCTCCTCTTCCTCCTCTTCCTCGTTCGGAACACGACCTAGACGAAACGCACGACGTGCGCCCCAGCGGCTACGCGCCAGAGGACGACCCAGAGTAAACGCGCGCCGGAGGACGACCCGGAGAACGCGTGTGAGGTACGGGCCTCATGGGAGGGGGCTCCCGCCTGAGACTTCCTCGTAATTCACTCACAGACGAGGCTCCCGCCTTATACCTCCTCCACATTCAGGCCTCAGGAGCCCAAGCGTGACGACAGTTGCAGGGGGCCGATGACCCGCTTCGGATTCGAGCATGAGCTGCGGGCCGCATAGGGAAGGGGCTCCCGCCTGAGGCTTCCTCGCAATTCACTCACTGACGAGGCTCCCGCCGTATACTTCCTCCATATTCAGGCCTCAGGAGCCCAAAAGTGACGACAGATGCAGGATTCGAGCATGAGCTGCGGGCCGCATAGGGAGTGGGCTCCCGCCTGAGGCTCCCTCGCAGTTCATTCATATGCAAGCTTCAGGAACCCAGAAGTGACAACAGTTAAGGGGCCGATGACCCGCCTCGGATAACAAACGCGACGTGCGGGCCCCATAGGGAGGGGTCTCCTGCCCGAGGCTTCCTCGCAATTCACTCACACACACACACCAAGCTCCCGCCTGTTACATCCTCCGCATCAGGGCCTCGGGGGCCCAAAAGTGACGACAGCTCCATGAGGCCGATGACCTGCTCGGATTACTCAAGTGAGTTGCGGGCCCCATAAGGAGGGGGCCCCCGCATCATATTTCTTCGCAATTCGCTCGCGGACGAGGCTCCCGCCTGATAGTTCTGACGTGTGCAGGCCCCAGGAACCCAAAAGTGACGACAGTTGTCGGAGGCCGACGACCCGCTCAGATTACTCACATGCGCTGCGGGCCCCATAGGGAGGGGTCTCCCGCCTGAGACTTCCTCGCGATTCCCTCACAGACGAGGCTCATGCCTGATACTTCGTCCATATCTAGACCTCAGGGGCCGAAGAGTGACGACAGTTCCAGGAGGTCGACGACCCTGTCGGATTAATCATATGAGGTACAGGCCCCATAGGGAGGGGTTCCCGCCTGAGACTTCCTTACAATTCGCTCTCAGACGAGGCTCCCGCCCGATCTTCCATAGTGAGGTTTTAGTGGCCCGTACGTGACGACAGTTGCAGGAGGCCAATGACCCGCTCGGAATGCTCATATGGGCTGCGGGCCGCATAGGGAGGGGGCTCCCGCCTGAGGCTTCCTCGCAGTTCACTCACAGACGAGGCTCCCGCCTGATACGTCCTCAACATGAATGTGTCCGCGTGTGAATGGTGATGATGCTGTGAGTGATGATGGCGATGTGAGTGATGATGGTGCTTGTGATGTGAGGGGTGATGATGATGGCGATCATGACGATGTGGATGATGATGATAATGGGGTTGGTGGTGATGATGGTGTGAGTGATTGAGTGAACGATGATAATGGTGTAGTGAAATACGATGAGGTTGATGGTGTGATGATGGTGATGGTGTGCGACCCATAGGGTGACTGAGCGTGCAAGGGGAAAGGGAGCTCATGAGGTCATCATTGGTTCATTGAGTGAGTGAAGGCGATGATGATGCTGACGATGATGTGTGTGAGTGAGTGGGTGCTCTTGTCTTCTGCGCAGGGTGCCCAGAGAAAGCACGACACCCACTTTGGATGTGGGGAATACAAGTTCGCTCCTCCCAGCCAAGACTTTCATGGGTAGCGAGGACATCGTCGAAAAACCCTTCGTCCGCTGCGAGGTCAAGCTCAGTAACCACCTACGAGCGGCCAGCCACCCCGTCGGTTTCCAGAGCATGCTTGTTATTAGTATTCACTTCCCATGCGTGCAGACAGCTTATCTAGTGTGCTGACTCTCGCGCGGGCCTCGCACGCTTCTGTGGAAAAAAAACATACGTCGCAAGGGCCAATCCGAGGCCGATTTTTTTTTTTTTTTGTTCCCCCCCCCAGCGGTCCGCAAAATCATTCCCGAGCCAAAGAAAAACGGGCGTGACCTGTGACTTGTCGTTGACAGTGGCGCTCGCACCCTGCTTCTTCCATCGCCGCCAGAAGTGCCTGTTGGCGTTCGATGAACTGATTTTTTCGGGTCAGTGGCGCAGCCGATCGACCCTGAGCAGTATGACAAAAACAGTGAGGGACCCGTCCACCTCCGGCTGCATTGAGAACTTGGCCAGCATGTGAAGTGCACAGTACCTAGCGCAGCGGAAGTTGCCATCATTATTTATGCAGACCACCGCCCGCGAGTGTGGAACACCGATCAGTCTACGAACACGTCTCCCTCAAAGAGCCAGCCAGGCACGGAGCCGACGAACCCAACACCGGCCGGCCTCATCCTTCTTGGCTTGGCCAAACGTGTGTTCAGAAGAGGGCAGCATGCCTCTCGCGAAGAACTCTGCGCTCTTATTGTCATGGGCGGCTAAGACTCTCGCGGCCCTGAGAAGCTAAGGCGGGCAGCCCCCCCGCGTGATGACAGACGTGCACGGACAGTCGAAACCACGATGCCATAGGGTGCCCTTGGCCCCGCTTTGTCTACACGGGGCTGCAAGCTTTGCCAGCTTCGAAGAGCCTCTGCTGGCACAAGTGGGCCCCACAGTTTACCGACGTGAACCCTCCTGTGCCTCTTGCGACAACCTTCCGAACCGGCACGCTGCAACTTCGCCAGCACTGGACACCAGTGAATCTCGAAAACCCATGGGGCCTTGATCTGACGGGGAGCCATGACATCAGAAGTTGCGAGCGTTACCAGCCTGTCAACCTGAGTTGGGAGCGGAAGAGGAGGGAGGAGGAGGGAGGAGGGAGGAGAACGAGGAAGAGGGAGGAGATGGTGGGAAGGAGAGGGACGAGGAGGAGGAGGAGGGCCATGATGATGGTGATGATGATGACGATGATGATGATGATGATGATGATGATGATGATGATGATGATGGTGTTGATGGTTGTGATGATGGTGGTTGGGGTGTTGATGCTGCTGGTCCTGCTCCTGATGGTTGTGATGATGCTGATGCTGATGCTGATGCTGATGATGATGCTGGTGTCGGTGGTAATGAAGGTGACTGTGGTAGGGACGATGATGCTGATGATGATGCTGATGCTGATGATGATATTGATGATGAGGATGATGCTGATGGCGATGATGCTCATGGCGATGCTGATGAGGATGATGATGTTGGTGATATGGTGATGGCGCTGTCGATGAAACTAGTGATGCTGTTGCCGCTTATGTTGACGCTGATGCTGCTGATGATGATGATGGTGCTCAAGAGGATGCTTGTGATGCCGTTGATGCTGCTGCTGATGATGATTATGATGATGATGATGATGATGCTGACGCTGACGCTGATGATGGTGATGATCATGATGATACCGATGCTGATGCTGCTAATTATGATGATGCTCATGACGATGATGCTAACACGAGTACTCATACCAACACTATGCATTTTAATCAATAAGGTTGTTATTATGGTTGTCGTTGGGAATGATGGTGATGAGGCTGGCGACGAGGTTCAGGATGATGATACCGATGATGATGCTGCTGATGCTGATGATGATGTTGATCATGATGGCGTTGCGGTTGTTATTGTTGTTGATGATGGAGGTGATGCTGCTGCTGATGATGCTGATCATGCTGATGATGTTGATGATTCTTATCTGGACGATGCTGCTGATGATGATGTTGATGATGACAATGATGGTAATGATGGTTATGTTGGTGATGCTGATGATGGCGATGATCATGGAGTGGGGGAGGAGGAAGAGGAGAAAGATGAGGAAGGAGGAGGAGGAGGAGGAGGGGGGGAGGAGGAGGAAGAGGAGGATGACTTGGAGGAGGAGGAGGAGGAGGAGGAGGAGGGGGAGGAGGAGGGGAGGAGGAGGAGGAGGAGGAGGAGGAGGAGGAGGAGGAGATGGAGGACATGGAGGACATGAAGTTGTGCGCGCGCTGGCGGCAGGAGAACGTGAACGCCGCGGACCTCCCCGGCGTCATGTGGTACCTGCACAACGAGGCGGGCGCTTCCGCGCCGGGGCAGCGCGAGAGGGTTGCCGTCGTCGTCGTCGTCGTCGTCTCCATCGTCGTTCTCCCAGTTACAGGAGGGAGGGAGAGAGGGAGGGAGGGAGGAAGGAACGGAGGTAGGGAGACGGAGGGAGGGATGGATGGATGGAGAGAGGAGGAGGAGGAGGAAGAGGAGAGGAGGAGGAGAGGAGGGACCAGTGTAGACCGAAGGCTCACCAACGATGTTGGAATACCCTCCCCTCCAAGCTCCTTATTAATCGGCCCCTACAAGGATTCATTTCCACTGAGGGAAGTGTCCCGGTGTGGGACAATCGCGGGAAAATCCTGAAGCGTACCAAAACACCATTCTCAAGTCTTCAACGCCACGTGTCAACCTGACTGATGCGTGTTCACGATCCAGAATCGTGCCAGTACAGCATTCCTGCGACTTCAACACCGCGAATCAACATAACTGGTTGCGCCCTGACAGCCCTGAATCGCTTCAACACATAATTTCATCGCTTCGCTCATTCCGCCGGCACATGTTGCCTCGCGGCTGTCGTTTGTCGGGGCGTCGTTGTCAATGCGGTGCGGTTGGGCGGCTGCCATTTTTCGGAGGCGGTGGGTGGCGGGTCAGAAGCCTCACAGATGTTGGTTGGGCTCTCGTGGTTGGCCTCTCAGGGGCCTCTGGGAGGCAGTTTTGAGACCTTTTGGGGGCCGTGTTGTGGCCGTGTTGGGGCCTCTTGGGGGCCTTTTGGGGCTTCTTTGGGTGCCTCTTGGAGGCCCCTTGGGGCCTCTTGGGGGCCTCTTGGAGCCTCCTGGGGCCTTTTGGGGCTGAAAGCTGGACTTTTCGGTTCCTGTTCCCCGTCTTGGGCCCCTCTTGGAGCCGTTTTGGGGTTCTCTTGGGCTGTCTTGGGCTCCTCTTGGGCTGTCTTGGGGCCATCTTGGGCCGTCTTGGGGCCCTCTTCGAGGCTTCGTGAGCCGTCTTGGGGCGGTTTTGGAAGCCTCTTGGGCCTTCCTGGAGCGCCGGCAAGCCGAAAAGGCGAGAACGCCAAACACCGTCAGAAACTAACGGAAAGTCAATAATTTCTGCCTCTGTGGGTCCTCTTGGGAGGTCTCTTGGAGGCCTCTTGGGGCGTCTTGAAGGCGCTTTGGGTGTCTGGAGGCAAAACTTGGCGTCTTGGATCGCTCTTGGACCGTCTCGGGCCATGTTGAGCTCTCTTGGAAGCCACTTGAAGCGCTTCTGGGGCGCTCTTGGGAGCCTGCCGGGACCTGCCCAGGACCCGGCCGGGGGTTGGCCGGGGGTTGGTCGGGACTTACGGGAGTGCTTTTCTTCTGGGGACCCCCAGGGGCGGCCCTTCGCGCGCGAACTAGAAATGTTAACCAGTTGCCGGAGATCTTAGCACGCCCCTGGCCCGTTGGGCCGGCGAGTTTCGGTACGTTAATCATGAGAACCTGTGATGCTCTCGCAAATTTAAGAAACGAATGCGCGGCGCTGAGGTGAGATGCGCATTTGGAAAAGCAGCCGCTCCCCATGTCTATCGAGCAGCGGCGAGTCGAAGGGGGCGGTGCTGCAGCGGATGGTGTGCACCGAGACACTGGAGCACCTGTTGAACCACGAGGCGCGCCACATCCTGAAGCTCAGCCAGCAGCGCCAGGTGCGAGAGCTCTTCCAGCAGGACCATCGCCGCCCGCATCATCCGCAGCAGGGCCCTCTTCGTCAAGTTCGATTGCCCCCGCGCCGGCAGGGGTCAGGGCGCCGCCCGCGGTGCCTGCGCCCAGAGCCTCAGCGGACAAGGTTGCCACGCTCTTGGCAGCGGTCCGAGGGTATTCAATCGAACCTTCGGCGGCGGCACTCGCAGCTGAAGGGCATGCCAAGAAAAGGATATCACCGTCATATTGCACCCAAAGAAGCGGGATTAAGTCTCGCCGAGTTCGCAAAGAAGGATCGTTTTGCACATCTCCCGGTGCGGGGCAAGATAAGCGCCGCACTTGTTGCGGAGAGCGGTGCAGACCTCATCAACACGCCAGAGACCCACATGTTGCCAGACGACACTCCGGAAATTTCTGAGCACGTTGAGGCGGCGCGAGTGGCATGTACTGGCTCCGCTGACATCTTTCAATCAAGGTTTAGAACGCGTGTGGCGTTGTACCTGGCATGCGCCAGCATCGTGCATGGGTGTCCTTCTTTAGACACCCCTTGTCGACATCTCAAGCAGTTCGTCGGTCGCGGCGTGTCCTTTGTCTGTCGGGGGCGTTGTGGCAATTCAGTGCGGGGCGTTGGTCTTCGGTGTCTACTTCGCAGTTTCGGTGGGGCCGCGTAGCTCTTACAGGCAGCGAGCTCCTTGCTGTTTCAGCGTTGACTGATAATCGCGTCGAGCCCTGGTTCGTGTTGGGACCTTCACGCAGCGCCAGGCGAAGTGGCACGATGGGTGCATGAAAGGAATGGCATAATGTTTCGCCCGCCTGACGTCGCTCGCACCTCGACGCGAGGTCATGGGCAACGCATCATCGACTGCGCCCTTGGTTCGCAGGAGCTCGGCACAGTGCGTCGCGACTCCGTGCAGATCGACGCTCGATGCGGAGACCGTCGCGGCGTGACTTTGGAGCTGGATATGGCAGGCCATCATGCGGCGCGGCGTTTTCGGGATTCACCGCGTCCCTTCCGGCCCCCTTTGCCTTCGAAACGCGACGCGGATCCGCGCGCGTTTTCGGGGGGGCGGCCGGCGCGTCGGCGGCGCCTTCAGCGGCGGCAGCAGAACCGCGAAGGGCAACCTCAAGAGCATGAGGAGCCCGAGAGGTTTTTTTTTGCCACGGTGGGGGGGTCTTGACCCAGCCCCGGCAGGGCGCGCATGTCCGCGCTTGGTTCTCAGGAGACGCCCGCGAACGCTTGCGCCGAGATTTCTTGCGGCTGTGATTCTGGCGCGCTCGCGCAGACGCGGGGGCCCGTCGGCGGCCCCTAGGAGCACGTTGCCACAGCGGTGCGAGGACTGTGATCTCTCCCATTCTCTTGAACGGAACGCGATTTCTTTTGCCGCGCCAGTCCTGGGTAACGCCGCCAGACTGGATCCACGGGGGTGGGCCCTTCTTATGTGTGCGCGGTAAGCGTGGACGAGTTGCTCGGGTTTCTGTCTCTGGCATGCGGGGCGGACATGGCGTTGCGGAGGGCGACGTGGGGCCAGATTTTTCAAGTTTGTTCTGCTCTCCCCTCCGTCGGCTCGCGCGCCCTCGGATGCCTCTGTTGGGCGGTGGTTTCAAGTGTCGGATGGGATTCGAGAGTTACTCAGAGCGCGCGCCCCGCCTCAGGATGCGGCTGCGTCGTCGAGAACCTCAGCGGCGGCAGCCGCAATGGGGGCGACGTCGGCAAGCGCGGCGACTTCCGGGGGTCGACCAGTTGCTGCGACGGGGTCCATTTCCGCCGGCGGGTCGGCTTCCACGGCGGGTCGGGAGCCTTGAGACGGGGGTCAATGCAAACGGGGGTCAGCCAGGGCGCCGGATCCTGCAGGATCCAGACCCCCTCTGGCTGACCCGGGTCAGGGAGCCGCTCGTGGCCGCGAGGCGGCCGCGCGTATTGGCTGACCCGCGTTTGCGAGGACCTGCTTTGCAGTTTTTTTACCTGCATTGCAGTTTTTGGTTTCCTGCTGACCCGGGTCTGGATTGACCCGGGTCAGAAGATCCCCGAGCGCGGCCAAGGGCCGCGAGCGGGCCGATTCCCGCGCGTGGGCCAGCTCCCGCGAGCGGGCCTATCACTTCGAGTGAGTGGGTCACCCGCGTCGAGCCGGTCGATTGCGGGCCATTTCCAGTTTCCGCGGCTAGCGCGGCTTCGACACTTTTTCGTTCCATTCATAGAAGAATTACTTGCCGTGGATTTCTTCGAGCAGCGTCTGGCGCAGGCGTCGGCAGATGCGCCCGCCTCGGGGCGCGGACAGGTAGTGGGCGAGGACAGGCAGGATCGGGCCAGCGCGCCTCTGAGCGCGCGTAAATTTGCCATCGGGGGCTTGTCTTTTGGGGGGGCCTGCCGTCGCGATCGGGGTCTTGTCTTTTTGGGATCGCCCGGGCGCTGCGCCCCAATGCCGCCGAGGGGGGCGGCGCGAGTTTCAGATTTTGGCGCGGGGGTCATTCGGGCATGGTCGCGGGGGGCTACGTCGGTGCGTGGCGCCCGAGACCGGGGCCGAGATCGAGTTTCGTGATTTCGCGCGGGCAGTTTCATCTATCTCACGGCCGCTTGGATTATATGCAGATCTTTTTGGAAGCGCGAGTGGCGTCGCCGCGATGCAGATACAAGTATAGAAGGCTTGTGGGAAAGGGCAGTTAGGCGGTTCTTCGGAATCTCCCCCACCGGCTGGCCTGGCACATCTCGTTAATCTTGGGAATGCATGCAGAAGGGGTGGGGTTTGGCCATGGCGCGCACATGCTGCGATTGCAGCATTGCTCAGGAAGGGCC